CGGTCTGAAGACGACGAACTGGAAGTAATAGTGCGTAGTGAGACGATTCAAGGCGGAGGCTACAATGTGAATGCTCGAGGACAAGGTCGAGTCGCGATGCGAGGCGAAAGGGATGAGATTGGTGAAATGGCAAGCAGAAGGTGACCAAAAGGCGAGCTGAGAGAGAAGCGATTGAATGAGAGGTCAGCGAGCTGGGGCAGGCGCGATTTTCAATGCCAAGCGGGGTTCAGGTCAGGTCGTTCCCAGTGCGCTTGCTGCAGGTGCGCTCTGTATTCGTACACACTGATCAGGTCAAAGGGAAAGCAAGGTCAGGTCCAGGTCCAGGTCCAGGTTCGGGTTCCAGGTCGGGGGGTGAGAGAGCTGGGTGTGGGAATCGGGTGTGTACTGTGAAGAGAGTGTGTGTGTGTGGTGGTGGTGTTGGGGGAGTTTTGGGAGAGAGAGAAGGGTGGTGGCCGGGTAGCATGGTGGATGACTTTGAACGACCGGGCAGACAGACTGAGGACCAAATGGCTGGAGCATGGGGCAGGAGGTACGAAGTACTCCATACAAGAATGACGAGGACGGGAGAAGTATCCGTAGCCAAATTGGAGGTATCAGATCACCAGCAGAATGCAGTGTCGGGCACCAAGAAGCAAGTCCCAAGGTACTTTGCGCATACCTGATCCGGCCGGGCATCATATGTAAAGTAGGGGCGAGGGAACTGATGCACAGCCTCCCTGCCCTGTCCTCGCACTTGCACTTGCACTTGTCTCCGTCCTCGTCCTCGTTGTCGCTACCCGCCTGTCCCAGAGAAGGAAGAGCAGGTACTCTCGATGTACCTTTCGTTGGCTGTTGAGCTGCTTCGTCTTCCATTGCCTGTGGCCACCGCACACCGTTAGTGAGCTACCTGCCAAGTTGTTACCGCTGGCGTTCCGGCTGGCGTCTACGGTGCGCATCCTTCAATACGTGGGCTGTCTTCTGCTCTGTTAATTCTAACGATAAATGGACGTTACATGATGCACTTGACAACGACCTGTGAGGAGTGGATTCGAGTGCCAATCAGTAACATGAACAGCAGATTGTGGGCACCAGTCGACTGGAGGAGCGTTCCAGGTTGAATGCGGTGCAAGTGCGGTAACAGATTCAAGACAGTCGGGGGACTCTCATGATGCGCGGATGGAATTGGACGCAAAGATGCAGCCAGTTGGTTCGCAAGTACGGCACTGTACGGATAGGCTGGCAGAGATGGTGGAGTGGATCGCGACGGAGACTGTTGAAAGTTCCCCCGGTAGCCAGTCAGGACTCAGGAGGCCGTCAACCACACCTCACAACTCACGCTTCAGAGCGAGCACAACTGTAGGGTACAACACCCCCAGCTGGGCGAGGCAAGATGAACACGGCGGACCACTCGGAAGCAAGGGAAACGGGAGAGAAGACATGTACCAGTGAGTACCTACCTCACACATATACACCTTGCCTAAGAAATGGATGAAAGGCACTACCACAGTTCCAATTGCTGCTGTGTGCTCCTTCCCTTCTGACTCTGACTCTCACTCTGTCTATGTCTCCAGACGGAACCCAAGGACCCTTTCGTCTACCCTACCATCAGCAAAGCACCTGGATTTGAACATTCACAGATCATTCCTAGCTTCCCGTTCCTGTGACTGCTCACGGGAGCTGCTTGCCTCAGCCAAACGCCCCGCAAAACATGGAATTAATCCATTGCGCGTGAAGTGTATCGAGGCCCGGCATGCACCAACTCCAACTGCATCATCCCAGCGCATTCAAGGAGCCGAAGAACCGAGCTCTTATCACGACACAACCACCAGTGACCACAAACTCCCACACAACTATTATGGGATGCCGGCGGGCAGATAAAACCAACAACATTTTCAACCACCAAAGCGGCTATTGTCTATACTATTTTGGCCCCGAATAGCCCCAAAGACCCTGTACCTGCAGCCCTGCATTTGCTCGCGCGACTACACTAGCACTCGAAAGTCGACGTTGACACGCATACAGAAAGAAAATGGACAAACCACAGCCGTTTCCATCCGCAAATCAATCATTTTGGTGCCGCTCTTGCCGTTGGTGTCGGTCACCGCATGCCACAAACAATCAAAGGAAAAAGTAAAACAGTCTCATTACATGTCCCCCGCCGTGCCGTCTTAGCCTGCACATCACACGCCCACGGATACACGGCATCCCCAGCCCAATCCCTCGCCCGACGCCCATCGGATCGCATGTCATCATGGCTAAGCTTTTTCGTTGCCTCGATTCCCTCGAAAGCTTGTCTGATCTTCCAACGACCTACCCAGTTGCCCCGTGCCGGCTCCCGCTTCCCACCCTCGCCAGATCGGCTCAAATCACTATGGCACCCGCTTGCCTTCTGCCTTTCTTTCACTAGCTATGAAACCTCATAGGCTGACATGATGGGCCCGTTCCATATTGATAGCCCCAGGAGAATGGTCTTCCTAGTCTTTCTCATCCGGGGAACGATTCGTGGCCTCCCTCTGATTCCCTCCCGCTAAAATAGCAGGCTACTACCGTCTACGTACCGCATGTCTTAGCGTGGAAGACAGAGATGGAAAATCAAAAGGGTCACCAACTGCTCTGGGCCTTGCCGCTGCCGCCTTCGGATACGGACGCCAGCATCTCTCCGTGCAGGCTGACCAACAGAGTTGTCGAGTCTTCTCTGGTCCATCGTCCGTAACGACGGTAGACGTGACACGATGCCCGATCTGATTACGACCAGTCCTCGACGGTCGAGATTTTCCTCTTAGCTTCGTCGCATCGAAGTCTCTCACACCTCCCCTTTTCCACTTGGGATTTTGAGTTTCTCCCACCACACGGGCCCGGTCTACAGTCATGGGCAAGTTGTGCCGACAGTTCCAGACGCTTTGCACCAGCCGATGTGCGTGACAGCTCGACCACGCCCGCCCGGTCGTTCTCGGCATTCACTCTCTCGGGTCTCCCGGTCTGACGGCACCTTTCGCGTGGCTGTCTACTATACGATCGACGGTCGTTATACATGTATAGCGCTTCACTCAATATCAACAATGCGCAATTCGCGTCTCGGGAAGTATTCTTCTCAGCGCCACGGAGTTGACAGGGTTCTTGCTTCTAGAGGAAAAAACATGGGCGGCTTCGCATCATTGCTCCAAGGCACAGCGTAAGATCGTACCATTTGGGCGCGTAGTACGACGCCAACCAAATTGGTGGTCTGCGGCTCAAGTCGACGCCTTTACCAAACAGCACCGCTGCAAGACGCTCGACTGCATATGGCCGCCAATAGCCTGGACGTGTACTCTCAGACCGCCCACTTGGCGCTCGACCATGGGAAGCGCACATTGCGTGGCCTGCGTGCTGCTGTCCTCCACAAGGGCCAGTGCCTTTCGCTGTACCAAATCGGGATGGTACTGGCCGGCACCAACAACAGCACCCGGGATCCTACGATGTCTCTCCCGCTGCAAGTCAATCAGCGGGAAAAGCTTCTAGCCACCGGACCCTTCTCTTCTAGTCCCGATGACTCGACCTCCGCCCGTTCTTGGCATCCCGACTTCATACCTCATCAGGTTCGCTATCCCTTTAGATGGCAACGAGCCTCTCAGAGACACCATGTCTGCATTCAACACACCTGATCAATTCGGAATCACCCAGCATACCATTTGGTTTTCTGGCTTTCCCACTACTCTTTGCGATGCTACTCTGCAAACTTCCTCCGGCGTCCGGACTTAGGCTCCCTGAAGCAAAGGTACATGAATAGTACCAATGCTAGGTTCCCCTCACAAACGCGGGTGCCCAGACAGACGTCATTGAAACATTGGCTGCTCCCTGGGTCAGATCCACCGGGGACAGGGGCCATCTCCCACACCTACGGTTGGCAATTTTACTGCTCTACCCTTGCCGGTAGAGAACACATTTTCCGGCGAAACTGGTCTGGTCTCGTCCGGAATGTTGCGTGCTTCACCAATCTGAATAATTAGTTCTTCAACAATCGCCCTGACTCCTTCCATGCCAGCCGAAGATGCCGGACAGCCGCTCTTGGTTCCCCAGCGCCGCTCTCGGCAATCTGGAGGCTCCCGGCCGTGGCGGTCTGGCGCCGTTCTGTTGTCTCAACCGGCAAAAAAAGCCGATTGACCCTCTACGTCACGTACTAGTCCGTCGTGTGATTCGTCAAAGCATCTAGGCTGGCTGCGACATTGATACGCCCGAGAACAATGGCAACGCCAGAGGAATCTTTTGACGGGCTGCCACTGAACCCTACTTTTGACCGCGCGTCTTTTGTACAACGTTGGCGGATTCCACGATATGGCAGGTGTTCGCCTTTTTGTGGCTGTGTCAAGATTGCTGAGGATTCTTGGGCAAGATTTAATCCTCAGGTGAACATCTTGGCTTTGGCTTGGCTTCTGGTAATCCGCAATGCCATGGCCTTAAAAAAATCAGGCAGGACGGTGCCTGTTACCTGCCCAGCACACAGCCACGGAGCACAGCCAACCTTGACAGCGCTCATTTCAGGAGGCAATAAAATGATTAGAGGAAGTATGTTTCAATTGTGTTGCGAGATCCATATGTCTGTTTGGCCGCGCTACGAAAGATCAACGGCGGAAGGGGCCAATCTGCCCGCTTGTGTTCATGCGTCGCCACCACCAATGTGAGATGGGCGTCTTAGATGGGCTGATTTCACCCCTTTCGTGGACTCATTTGATGACTCTGTAAGCTCGCTACGAAGGCTCTCTCAGTCAACATTGGCACCAAATCCTGCGTGCGAGGCTACGAGATGAGAAGGCTTGCCAATGTGTTCGAGCCCCAGGTCGCTCAGGAACATCTCTTGGCCTTTGATTCCAGATGACATATTTGACTTGCAGCTACGGGCGTAGAGTAACTATACGTGCTCCGGCCTCGACGGTCAACTCAGTGTGAGCTCCGAACTCGCGGAGCAGATCGGAGTCAACATCAGCGCTGGAACTTGAACTTGAACATTTCCAAGTCCCGGGCAGCGAATTACTTTCCCCGGTCCATCACTGGCGCCTACAGCCGCTCTTATTGGTAATCTCCGCCGGACAAGTCACCTGGCGGAAGGAGACGCTCGGGTTATCGGCGCCCTTGAACCAGTCGAAGCGCCAGTAGCACCCGGCCTTGAGCTTCGCGGGGAACCCGTCGCACTCGGCGCGGGAGCTGACGCCGCCGTACCGCTGGCCCCACCCGTTGGCCGGCGCTCCGTACTGATCCGTGCAGGCGTTGAATTGGCCCACGCCGCCGCCGGGGATCTGTTGAAGCAATAACGTCAGTATACTTCTCGTCTTCGTACAGCACTCTGTGCTTCAGGGACAGGCAGTTCTCGTATCTCTGTATCATATGAAGGGGCTCGTCCTCAACATGTTGTGTCCCTCCTGTAAGTTGGTTTTCGTGATGTGAATAGCCACCCAGCAAGGAAGCATCGACAACATCCTCTTGTCTCCTCTTGCATCTCCGACAGTTTCCGGCATATCTTGTAGTCTCCAAGATGGAACAGGCCGAAGGCTGGGTAACAAAAGAAAAGTCCAAAACGGAGAAAATGAACGAAAACTCACCGCAATATCAAAATGATTCTGCCCCAAATCCCCCCCCGTATTCGTAGCCTGCACAACCATCCTCTTCCCCGCCACCGCGCCGCTCGTGAAGGTCAGCTCGTAGCACGCACAGCACCACTGCGCCTCCGTCCCGCCCGAGATCCGCACGGCGGCGAAGCCGTAGGCCAGGTCGTCCGAGACGGCCCAGGGGGACTGGGCGCTGCACATGTAGGCTCCGCCGCCCGAGTCGCACCCGCTGCGCGTGGCGCCGCCGTCCGAGAGGGGGTTGTCGTTGCGGTCGCAGGTCGTTACGGGGCCGGCGGCGAGGGAGGAGGAGGGGATCTTGCCGGGCCAGGCGCAGGAGGGTTTGCAGCAGTCCCAGTAGCGGGTTGTTGAGCCTGTGGATGTGGATTGGGCTTGTACTTGGTGGGAGAGAAGGATGGGGAGGAGGAGGGTTAGGGGGTGTGTGAGGTGCATCTTTGGAGAGATGAGTTCGGATATTGATGATTCAAGGGACGTAGATAGTTTCTCCGTGGTACGCGGTGAGATGTGTGACGAGGGGCCCGAGTTCTGTTGGACTCTCGTGGGCGTGACGGCAAGTATTATATACGGGTTGAACGCGATACTCTCGAAGAAACTCGACGACAGTGATGAGCTTGTGTATCATATACTGTACATCGTATAATACAAAATAGCTACGATCCTATGGCTAATGACGGGGAAATGAGCAGGAACAATATACACAACACCAAAGAAGGAGAGCTCGCCTCCGCTCCGTTCGTCACCTTGTCAAAGATCCCGATCCTTCTCTTTTTACCCCTCCGCTTTTTCCTCTCTCGTTCAGATGGTACCTTATCATCAGGTGTCAAAGTCAAAGAAAAGAGCGGGATCCAAGGTACAAACGAACATTTACCCAAATTTAACCGTACCAAAAGAACAACGATGATCCCCCATCGTTTACCCTCTCTAATGTTGCATATAGTTGACCAGACGGGTTAAAACAGGTCTGGATCAATTTACCAGAAACGAAAAAAAACCACCAGACCAAGACATGGAATAAAACTCTCACTAGGATCTTACTGTTTTTTTTTTTGGTGTATCGTCAAATCACCTCATCAAATCCATAACCTAGAATCTCCCATTCTCACCATCTACTCGGTAAGCAACTTGGCGAGAAAAAAAGGATTCAACCGTACCGAATGCTTCGGCATTGCGGCCACACGTCCCGGCTCTAGACCAGGTTGACTACGACTCTTCCCCGCAAAACCCGTTCGCTGGCGATGGCTGCCGTGCCGTCCATCTGGACACTAGGCAGGGGGGGTTAGAACGAAACAGAGTCACATTCGGAACGTCTCTGCCATGTCCTCCCTTCTCCATGTGGTAAGAGATCAATCAGTTCGGCTCAACTGTCCCGTTTCTTAGTTGGCGCGTGGGAGTAAAGTCACGGCACTTGATAGCCGTGATCAATGGTTGACTTCCAAACCGACCATCATCCAAGCTGTCAACGATAGTAGAAGACTGATGCCCGGAACCGGCAATTCGTTTACGTGTTTAAATGTCACCAACACATTGTGATCCTCACCCTGTACCCCTCAAATCACATGACACGCACAAAACATTTGGACTCATAGTTAGAAGCAAGACTTTTTGTTATTGTTCTTCGTTATACCTGTATCCGTAGCTTAAACCCCAAAGCTACCCCTGTTCATGAGCCAGTCGTCATCATCTGCCAGAATACAACCGGGCAGAAATCTTTGCCAAGAATCAAGAGAAACAGCCGCAGCGGTCCTACCATCTGCGGTTATTGTTGTTGTTGTCGCCAAACTGCTCAGCGACCTTGCCGATGAAGTCGCCGAAGCCGCCGCCGCCGCCCTCGCGGCGCTCATCGTCATCGTCACGGCGACGACCGTGGTGCTCCTCCTGGCGTCCATAGCCGCCACCCTCGTTATCGTCGCGTCTACCGCCGCCGTAGCCGCCCTCGTCTTCGCGGCGGCCACCCCCGTAACCTCCACCGCCGCCACCATATCCGCCCTCGTCGTGACGACGTCCACCGCCATAGCTCTCCTCTTGGCGTCCACCGCCATAACCACCCCCGAAGCCTCCCTCATCTTCGCGGCGGCCACCTCCGTAACCACCACCGCCACCACCATAGCCGCCCTCGTCATGACGACGTCCACCACCACCATAACTCTCCTCTTGGCGACCGTAGCTGCTCTCCTCGTGGCGACGGCCACCGCCGTAGCCGCCCTCGTTATCATCGCGTCTACCGCCGCCATAGCCGCCGCCACCACCGTAGTTGCTCTCCTCTTGACGACGGCCGCCATAGCCGTCGTTCTCGTCACGTCGGCCACCACTGAAGCCAGACTGGGTGTTACCCTCGTAACGGTGAGTCTCGGTGCGCTGCTCATAGCCACCACCGTAGGAGGGACGGGTCTCCGTGGTTTCCTCGTACTCGCGGCCGCTGGTTCGGCGTCCGCCAGAGCTGTCTTCCTGCTCATACTTGCGGTACTCGGTACGGCTGCCGCCACCGGGGTACTGGGTCTCGCTGTACTCGGCCTGACCATACTTGTTTCCGTGGCGGCCGTACTCGGTCGTAGTCTGGGTGTAGCCACCATCGTCGTCACGGCGGCTGCTGTGCTGTGTCTCCGTTTCGTCCTTCTTGAAGACACCTCCGAGAATGGATCCAATAAGACCACCAGCGCCACCGCCGCCACCACCGCTCTCCTCCTCCTCTTGCTGGTGCTTGTATTTGGGGACCTTAACCCCAGTCTGCTGACCAACAAGGTTTGCGATGGCACCGGAAGCACCTTCGAGAATGGCGCCGGCAGCTTGGTCAGCAACCTTGTCTTCCCAGTTCTTGGGCTCGCCGAACTGCTTGCGCATGTGGAGCTTTCCGCTGCAGCCGTGGCCGTGTCCAGTGTCGTGGACACCCTCTTTGTGGTTCTCACCGCGCTGAACACCCTCGCGACTCAGCTTGCGGCGGTAGTCATCCTGCTGGCTTCTGTCCATGTTGTTCCACCACTCCTCGAAGAACTGGAAGATTTGCTGACGGCCCTCACGAGCGCCATCGTCTCCCATGTCACGCTGTGCAGGGTGGTGCAGAACACCAAAGATAATGCGGTTCAAGGTGCGGTTAACATCGACGCTGTCGTTATCGATGGCCTCCATGAGCTGGGGCACAACCCAGTGGAGAGTCTTGGCAGCACAGCGGCCAGCGACCTCGTTCAAGATCTACCAACATGTTAGCCACCGATTTCGCCTACTGAATGACGTTTTCCTTACGTTGGTGAAGTGGTCCTTGGACAACATGGAATGGGTAGGGTCAGTGCTACGGTCATCGTCAAAGACGACGTGCTGCTCCTTCTCACTGCTCTCGATAATCTCAGCGGAACCAGTGCGCAGCTCGTTGCGGATCTGGTTGATGACGGGAATAATGAAGGGCGCGATGACCGAGAAGACAAACTTGGACAGCTGCTCCTCAAGCTGCTCAAGAATCTTGGGCAGAACGGGAATCTTCTCAATGGCCTCAGAGATACCCTGCAAGATCTCGTCGTGGAACTCGATGGCAGGCATGATCTGCTTGAAGACATCCTGGATGTACCGGGTGTACTCCTCAGGCTCCCTGGGAGAGACCTGCATGTTCTGGAGCTGCGAAGAGGTCGCGTTGCTCTGAAGCTCGTCCACCCGGTTGCTCTGGTGCTTACCGCCAAAGATACCATCGGGAATCATGTCCAGAAGGTTACGCAGAATGCTGGTATCGTTGTTCTTGCTCTCCTGAAGAGTACCCTCGAGCTCCTCAATCTCGTTCTGGGTCAGCTTGTCAGAGACTGGTCTTGTTAGCTGCGATCTTGTGTTGAGCATTTCAAGAATATGTACCTTCGCCAGTGACGGAGTGAAGGAAGTCAACACCTCCAAAGGTGCCGGTGACAATGGGGTAAACATCGCCTCTAGCTCCGTTCAGCTGAATCCGAGTGTCACGGCCGACGTGGGGGAAGACATCGCGCTCGCCAAGCTCAATCAGGGCAAGCTCGCAGTAGTTGCTGTGGGCGAAGAAATCTGTACCACACTTCGTTAGCGATATTCTCTCATGGTTTCATGAATCATGTGATCGAGCAGCGTACCCTCCAAGCAGTGAAGACCAGTACCCATGAGGCGCATGGCCTCGTAGAGATCAGCCTCATTCTTATTGCGGGAGTATCCGCGGGCCAGCTCGATGCAGCGGGAAAACAAGTTGCGAACGTGGGCGGCAGAAGTCATGATTCCAGCCTGCTCGTTCGCAATGTAGTTCTTCATGCCGGACTCGCGATCAATGCCAAGCTCGACGTTCTCATCGACGGGACCTCTCAGACGGCGGTCGTACTGGCGGGCATCCACGTTGTCGGCATAGTTCTTGGGGTTGTCGATGTGGTCTTCGGGGCGGTAGCAGCCGAGACGGTCGGCCGTGACCTCGAACTCCTTGGATCCGTAGCCAAAGGTCAAGAAACCCAGGACACAGAGAAGGAGACGAATGGCCTCGGCGGAGACGGACTTGACGGTTCCGACATCGATGGCCTGGGAGTAATCCCTGAGCCAGTTGCCAAAGTAGACACGGGAAACCATCATCTTGCTGAACTTCTTGCCGCCGATGGCGCGGGCCATAGCAAGGGTAAGGAGGGCATCTTCAATATCGCCGTGGCGCCCTGTGTGACAGACGAGTTAGCGGATCTGCTCTCCCCATCAGACAATGGCGGGTGGGAGGGAAGGAGCTCACAGTTCTGGCCCTCGATCTTGGAAATGCTGGCAATGTTACCAGCTCCGAAGGCGTAGGTTGGCTGGGCAAGGCAGACCAGCACAAGCAGGCCGACCAGCAGCGGGTAGGACCTGGCGTCGAGCATGTTGATTGACTTGTACCTCTCGTGCTGCTCTTCTCTCTCCTCTTCTGATATTTAGTAGTGTTTATCTGTTGTAAGTCTGTAGAGACTGTTTGGTGACTTGGTCAAGGTGAAGTGGGGTTTGCGCAGAAGCAAAACAAAGTTATGATGACGGGAGGGAGGGGGAGGTCATTGAAATAAGGAGAGAGATATGACACAAGCAAGGGGCAGTAAAGAAAAGGAGGGGCCTTTGATGAGGGCTGGAGGCGGTGGAGGGGCAACACGACGGCGTAACTGCGTTCTTCCAAGCTTCGGGAGCATGGGGGAGGGGGACTGGAACAGGAACTTGATGGAGCTATCAGAAGCCAGGAACAGGAGGCGGCTCGAGTGAAGAGGAGGGCGCCGACAGACAATCTTGGAATCGAGACCAAGCACCACACTCCGTACATACGTCTGTGAATGCTGTGTGACGGTCTCGCCATCCAATCTTGACCAGCCCAGTCCAATCCGCCGCCATCTGAGGCTTCCATCTTGTCACTGCCCCTCCTTCACGCGCACACACGTTCCTCCCACCTTGGTTCCCGTTCTCTGTTCGCAGCGTGTTTTGCGGTGGTTTGTGGTCCAAGCCCCCAGGTGCCATGGCATCATACTACTGCGCGATAGCTGCTGCCAAGAGCTTCCCCCACCAATGCCAGTGGGCGGTGATGGAGGGGCTTGCGGATGCCGATTGGGAGCTCGAATCAGAGACAGGGGGACGGTTGCCAGTAGCGCCATGGGTTGGGAGTTGGGAAGATGGTTTGAGGTACTTGGAGACTGGGTGGCGAACACGTACAAGAGTGAAGTATCGGTAACGGGAAAAAGCCAGGTCGGATGGGGCAGGGGTCTGCATCAAGCTCAACGCAGCTGTGTGGATTCGATTCGGCAAGGTAAGGTAGTTGGGTAGCTTGATCGCCGGTCCTTTCGGGAGGCCTGGTTCACGGTGGTGCTAACTGTCCGACGTGCGGGTGCGGGTGTGGGCGCGCGTCAGGCAAGACCTTGGCCAGCTGAAAATAAACCTGCGGCGACGATGGAGGAGGTGGTTGCCTTTTTGGCTGGTGATGTGGACTATCCGATGTTTCTGTCAATGTTGGGTTTGGTCGAGTATCCGAATTGGAAGGAAAAAGAGTAAAAGGTCGGACGTCTGCAACAAAAGTGCAATGAATTATGACGCAGCCTTCACCGACAAGAAGTTTGCTTCCTGAGGTACCCGGTATTGAGGGCAGTCGTTGCTTGGGCAGGTGCAGATAACGTGAATGAAGTGGGAATTGGAAGCTGCGGCCTTGTCCAGATCCTTGGCAGCGATGTGAGAGGGGATCCATACGTACGAATATGAGTACGAATACACATCACTTTCTACGGAAAGTTCCCAACTCTTCATTGCTAACGTGAATACGAATGCTTAACATTGCAAGATCACACTCACACTGGCATACCCCGATCAGATGGGGCGTCGGGTAGGCAATCAGGCTGACACCTCTGGCCGGCGCTCAGAAGGCAAGGAACCAAGCAAGAAACTCATGCGAACTCGATGCACTGAGAATATTCGCAGGCATCTCAAGACTTGAGATCTGCTGGAATGCTTCACTGCTCCGCTACACTCTCCTCCACTATTCCACGTCGCCTTTTGGCACCTGGGTGGAGGCTCCTCACCGGGGCCGATCCGCTGCCAATGGAAATCGGCGACTGGGCTGGGCTGCCTCCGGCCGCGACTTTCTTCCTCTGTCAGACCTTAGACGCCAGTCGTCACCTCAAGTTTCGATGGGGAGGCCGGGAGGGGGGAGACCCTCGTTTCAAAACGGGATGAGACGGTTGGCGGTCAGGCCGGTTTCTGGCGGCGGGGTCGGGGGCCATGGGGGATGAGAGAACTATTGGGAACTCTTCCATGTGTCACGGAGAGGAGACTTGGAGAGGAGAGGGGGGGGGGGCATCTTTTTTGGTGCGGGGCTGAGCTCAGCTTTCCAGTGTGGAACGGCCGCTCAGCTTTCTGGGCCTTTCTATTGGCGACAGCTCTACGGTACCCTAGGTACCAGAAGCTTACTGATCTCATCTCATTCTAATCTACCTACGATGGGCGCGTAGGACGAGGATTCATGTCGCGGAACACTGCTGCAACTGTTCATCGCCGGTTTCTTGGGGACATGCTGTCAATGGTGCATTCTCTACTGATCTTGCTCCTGTTATAACTCACTGAACTGATACCAAAAGTACCCAGTGATGATGCCGAGGATTTACTGCTGCTCTCTCTCAAGCTTTGATAGCTCCAAAAAGAAAAGAAAAAAAACAGTTTCGAAGCGGGACCTGAGCTGCCCCGTCATAGCTATCCTAGGAGCAATAGCTATCGATGAGTTGAACAAACTCACCAATTTGTGAATCTAGCCACCTACTGTGTAGACAACATGAGACGTATTGCAAACCCCCTTCCAGAGACACCTAATTGATTTAGTTCCCATGTTCTGTGATTGCACAGGTTGGGATGAGACAGGCCGTTACAGAACGTCTACAAAGTCGCGTCTGAGTTGTTATGATTAGGCGAGAAACACGCGTTGGTAGCCGTTGATCAACGCCTCGCAGGGGTGCGACTCACCACAGCAAAAGCAACTGGATTACCTATGGATGGGCAGTCCCGCATTGCCTGCTTCTGATCACTGGTCAGACCTGCCATCTAGTACAACGTAGATTCACATTGTCTCTCGTGCGCCGTGAAATGGTTGTGTACATTGCTCATCCCACCTGGAAATCGATCCTTTATATGCCAAACAATCACGAGCTGCAGTGTCAGAATTCCGCTGCTCATTCTCATGGATCAGCATCTCCTGTGACTTTACGTGAGATCAAGACTCTAGTGTCTTTCCCCGATACAAAGATTGAGTTGGATCAATTCCATACTTGATCTAGTGAATAGAAGTCCACGTCCCGTGCCTTGAAACTTGTTCACTCTCGAGCCTCATGAACGGCACATGTGTGCTCGTTATGAGGCCCGTCGGAGTCTTCGGTCTGGGCTCGGTGTGCCGTTTACAATGGGTGCTCTGCAACAACACCATGCCGAAGGCGATTCTGTGGCCACGAGTGTGTAGGAGGCCCTATTGACTTGACTTGATGTACGTGGTGCAGATGGGCATGTCTTTCATCAACACATTTGGGTATTGTGTACTCTTCGTATGCTGATATGCTTGTCAAGACAAGCCCGTCACGCTGTCTTCAACATAGGAACGGGTGAGCTCTGCAAATTGATAAGGTATCGTGCGAGAGCTTCTCGTGCCTCTAGGGTAAACCATCGCAAGCTGGACACCGGTGGTGGACGAGTACCGTGTGGTCGTCCAGTCGGGGCTACACCTCCCGAGAAAGACCAGAGGATGGGAGTCTAGATGGATGTCCGACACCTCATTCTAAGGGCCTCAAGAAAATGGTGGCCGCCTGAGCTCCGTAGAACGAGGGCAGTTGTCAAAAGAATAGAACAGCATCATGTCCGAAGTCCCAGGTGTCCGTACAAGTGCTTGCTTCTAGTGCGTCAATGTAAATGCTTGCTGGATGACGGTGAGCCTTTGAATGACTTTTGTGGGAGATGCTTCTCAATAGCCAAGGCCACATTGCTTGTGAAAACTCTCTAGGTGCCCAGTGAGTCTTGACGAGAGCACCTGGCTTCAAGCAGGGCTTTTCTGCTTTCCAGTAGTTGCCAGCGCATGAAGACCTCTCAGGCCAGGAGACAGTTGGTTCAGGGTCATTACAACACCACCGGTGATGATGGTGCCCCAGGCTGGTGAAGAGCTAGAGCCGTTGCCCACCAAGCAGGTTTCTGGAACTACCTTAGGTACAAACGGCGTTGACGGAGTATTACAGGGAAGCACCGAGGGATAGGTCCAGTCTCTCATGAACGAGAGAGCACACTGGGTAAGGTGACCTTGGACTGTTCGGACATGAAAACAAGTCGCGGGTGTACCAGCTGAAGCGATGGCGGGGAAAAGGCGGCCACTCCAATAGTGCTGGGAAAATAGCCTCATGAGAACTGAGACTGCCCGAGAACCAGAATGGATTGCTGGGCGGCCGGTTAGAGAGCGCTCGCTGTCATCGCTGGAGGTGGAAACACGTAACCCGAGATGCTCGGTGCTGAGTGCGAGTGAGCGGGGAACCCTCCGTGCTGGACTTCTTGGGGGTCCAGCGAACACCGCCGACGAGACTACGTCCACGGTCTCATTCCTTCTGAGGCCTAATGGCTGCTGAACGACCGACACGATAACCAAGTGTGAGAAGCGCGGCAGTGGTGGGCGAGAATTCAGCACGTCAGTGCCTGGCAGGACCACCTCACTGATGATGACTGGGTTCCTGGTATTTGGCCGAAGGTACCCGTGATTTGGGAAGGGAAACACGAGGGGGACCTCGGCTGGAGCAGGCTTTCAGCGTCCTCGGTGTCGACTCTGAAGTCAGGCTCTGAGCAGACGGGAGGATGAGATGGGTGGGCAGCCTAGAGTCCAGAGTCCATACTGGCGGTCCAGGCCAGCTGAAAAGGAGTCGGACAGAGCCAGCTGCGATAACGGGGGCAGAAGCTCTGAAGTTGGCAACGATGAGGGATCTTCAGGCGAAGCAGTGGGGAAAGGCCTGAGAAGATGGCCGCTGTCGGGGGAGGCAGACAGACGAGGAGAAGAACGAGAAGTTCCCGGGGACCAGAGCGAATTGAGAACGGCGGGGGGTGCGGAAGAGTACGGTGATGGATGGGGTGCCGCCGCTGCTGCTGCACCTGGGAGTCCAGGACTTGAGGTGATCTGGACGTGCCCAGTCAGTTTCAGGCAGACATAGGCGGGGATAGGCACCCGAGTCCCCAGAAGCCTTGCTGCTTTTACAGCCTGGAGGGCACAGCACTGTGAACCTGTCAAGCCGGCCGATGGAGGACAGCCCGACTGACAGAGGGAGAGGAGTGAGGGATCACAATCAGTGAGTAATGGGAGGTGGATGAGGGGAGTCAGAGATGGTCGGTCGGGGATGGGGGCAGTGCAATCACCGACGGGTTCTAAGGTACGGTACGGAGTAAGGTACCTACCTACCTGAGGAATCCCATCCCCCCGGTCATTGTTTTCCCCCCCCTTGTGCACAGAATGCAGGCACGCTGTGGGCGTTGTGCTCTTTTCCTCACGAGGCCCACGGGTGGCTTGGGAAAACGGGCGGGACCCGACGCTCGCTCGCTGGCACTGGGCAGAGAGGCGAGTGGGCGCCCCCGATTGCAGGGCCCTCATTGGGCGACAGGGCATTACCGCTAAATGATGGGGAGGCGAGGTGTGTGTGTCATGGACGGTGCACGCCGCAGGTTCACACACAAGAAAAATGTGGGCGCCCGCCGCCGAAAATCAGCGATCGAGGGAGGAAGAAAAGGGTGCAAAACTCCAAGGCATCCCGTCACCATCCAATACCACGTCGCTAAAAGTACAGTGAGAGTACCGCCAGAGCATCACAGCGACAAGCAGCGCACCAGATAGCGCGATTGGGGCACTACAGTGTCCGCAACGACCGCGAATAAGCCATGCAGATGCTCAGAACAGGTCGGGGATCAATATAGTAGCAAGAAAAGCATAGCCTTGCTCCCAAGAAAGAGGTTTACTCGACGACCAGTCAATTGACTGACAATAGTAAAGTACAGCAAAGAGACAATCCACGAGGCTCGATATATACTCAGGTCGAGTCCAGTTGTGCTGGGCGGCAATCAAGACGAGCGCCGATGCCGAGGGGGGGAGCTGATGGCCAGCGGTACCTTTTGTAGGTACCTTTTTCGGTGAGGTAAGGTAACCTAAGGGAACGAGGAGAGGAATGGCGGGACGCAGAGGAAAAGCTTGTAGACCGTAAAGTACCTACCTTACTTATCCTAAGGTAAGGAAGGTATGGATGACATGTGGCCTCTCTTGTGTTCAAATTGTCACTCTCTTCTGATGCCTCTTTCGTGTTTTGGCGGCCGGTGCTGAGTGGGCGGGCGCTGTATCATCTCTTTGCGTGAAAGTGTTCGTTTATTTTGCTTTACGGCTCTGGTAGAGTGGATTAAAGTGTCCCATCGGCCGTCATTGACAGTGGAAAACGCTGGAAGCCCTGGGCTGCCCTGAGAGTTTACAAGGTCTGGTAGAGGCAATGTGCTTACCACATTTGTGCACAAAAAGATGATGCTGAGAATGGCATAACCTCTCCAGCAGCCAGCTGGCTTGGCCAGGCGCGCTGAGGTGGGCGAGACTGATCGGGCCAGGCTGGAGAGGAGCCTTTTCGTTTTCCATTACTGATTAGCAGCGCTGCGGTGGATGCATCCCCTTGAGTGTTGCAGGGGTGTCGGGCAACTTTTTTTTTCACGCGTCGCATGATGTGATTGAGGGAAGGTGCCAAAGGTACAGGAGCTGCTAAGGTAGGTAGGTACCTTACCTCAAGGCTCAGAGCCTCAGAGGGTATTCAATATTGACGCAGAGAGAGTGTGGGAATATGGGAACCAAGGTTTGCATTAGGTGGCACCAGTGTAGACAACCTACCTAAGGTAAAGTATGCAGTGAGAGACGGTAGACGTGGAGACTTTGTACTTCCCGCCCGAAAGGGACGGGAGAGAGCAGTTGTGGTTTAACGGTTTAACCGTCTGGCGGCACGGGCGACAACTGAAGCGACATCACCGCGGATTCGCCAGCAAGGTGGAAGACCGGGAAAGAGGGGGAATAAACGTACAAGCTGTGGGCTGGATCGCCTGCTGCTGCTGCTGCTGCTGCTGCTGTTGCTGCTGCTGGAGCCTTGGGGGGAGAAAAAAGAACAGGGCAAGAGAATGGGAATATTTTAGGTGAAAGAGAGGGGGGACAGAGCAGGCCCCCCAAAACTCGTCCAGTTGGCTTTTTTTTTTTTGGGCCGGGCAAGAGCGAAGTGCCTGAATTTTTTTTTTCTCTGTTCCCCTCTTCCCCTTCCCACTTGGCCCCCCCGGAAAGGTGCCAAATCACTCCCAAACCCCTCCCACCCCGTCTGCACTACATATTCGGCTCAGGCCCTCCCCCAAACCTCCCATCCCCTTCCCTCTTTTTCCCCCATTTCTTCACTTTCCCAGGCACCAAACCCCCCAAATCTCAACCGCCCTTTCCTCCCAACCTTGCGCCACTTTGTGAGTGCCAGAAAAAAACAACAACTCCACCAAACACCAGCACACCCTTTTTTGCTTCTCGCCATCGTCGCGTCAAAGCACCACTTGACTTACAGCGCCCATCGGCCCTAAATCCTCTCTACCTCACCGCAACCACCCAAAAAACACAACCATCACAATGCCTCGCCCCTCAAAGAAGGCCCTCGCCGCCACCCCCAGCGCACCCGTTGCTGCCGTTCCCGTCGCGCCTGCTCAGCCCGTGCAGCCCCTCCAGATCCCCCAAAGACACATTGATGTCGAGGGTTTCATTCGCGTCCGCGACTCGGTAAGATACACCCTTTCCACCATTCCCTCAAAACCTCAATTCTCCGCCGCCATGTTTCCCAAGCTTCACTCTCCGTTCCACCACGGCCCAGCTGGCTATCCTGGAGTCGATATTGCGCCAGTTTCTTCACTGGCTTCTACTGCCATCAGAATCCCAAGCATCTGATTGTCTTGCTATTTCTTCGACGCGTTTCTCGGCGTGAACTGTCAGCCGCGCGTGCTTGTGTGCTTGCTATCTATTCAGATTCAAAGCTGGCACCGCGAAAGACGAAACGGGCACATTTTGCATTTGATAAGCCAAATGTGCTCCGAGAAAATGGCAGGGGGAAAAACACGCTGCGTCAGAACACTCGTTTTTGTTTACATGGACCAATGTGACCCCGCGTCTGCCGCGGGAGCTGTGACCCACAGAAGCTCTTCAAGCTCAGCTCAGCTAAGCTTGGCTGCCCATCTCCCACTACACCTTTCCTGCTACACACTTTACGCATCTTACCACTCTTTGCTCAAGCGTATCTGATCAGACAGAATGCTAACACCACTGTCAGGTTCACCAGCGCCTCATCACCATCTTGGAGTTGATCAAGAACTTCTCCGAGGACTACTACCGCCAGACCAGCCTGCTTCTTGGCGAGTCTGCACACGAGGCCATCCCGGGCATTGACCACCCTCTGAACACCTTGGAGCATGCTGCCCAGAGCATCGCTCCCCTGGCCCTTGGTCTCCAGCCCGGCGTTGCCTACCACCCTGCCCCTGTTGAGGAGAAGAAGGAGCGCAAGAAGCGCACCCACGACCCCAATGCTCCCAAGCGCCCCCTGACCCCCTACTTCCTGTACATGCAGACCGCCCGTCCCATAATTGCGAATGACCTTGGTGATGCCGCTCCCAAGGGTGCTGTTCAGGAAGAGGGCCAGCGCCGCTGGAAGGCCATGAACCTTCAGGAGAAGGCCGGCTGGAATAACGCGTACCAGTACAACCTCCGCCTCTACCAGGCTCGTGTCCACTCCTACAAGCAGGGTGGCAACCTTGAGGCCAGAAACATGGACGATGATAGCGCTCTCAAGTACGCCGAGGAGCATAACATCCAGATCAACCCTGTTGATGTTGTCCCCGATGTTGAGGATGCCATCGCCGAGCAGCTCAACCAGGCCAACACCGTCGATGCTCCTGGTGAAGAGGAAGAGGAGGAGGAAGTCCCTGCCCCCGTCAAGACCCCCAAGAAGCCCGCTTCTACCCGCAAGCGCAAGACTGCCACTCCCGCTGCTGAGCCCGAGGCCAAGGCTGCTGCCACTCCCGCAAGCCCTGACAAGAAGCGCCGCCGCACATCCACCAAGGCCGCTGACGCCACTGAGTCGGCGGAGCCTGCCAAGAAGAGCAGAGCGAAGAAGGGCAAGAACTAAGCATTTTGCTTCATTCGACCCCCCCCTCCTTCTACTCATTTCTTCTTGTTTCTAGGTTTCTGGGTTTTTGCAAAGATGATACCTCGTTGCGCGGCGGCTTGTCGCTGATCCTTACCCCCTTCACTGTCCCTATGTTGGCGCAGATATACACGGGGGTGTGAGGTTCTTGACTGGAGGGGGAAAAAAGGAAGGACCACATCTACTTCGGTCCTCTGTCGTTGCGTGTGCCTACTGCGCGCGAACGCGGTGTGTATGATTTCACAGGGCGTGTGGTTTTGGGACGGTTTTTCCAACGGACACAACACGTGTGAGAGAAAGAAAGGAATACAAAACTCCCGACTTGAGTGTGGGCGGTTTATGGATCCAATGGGCTTTCGGTTTGGGCTGGCTCTGCTTGTTTTCCGGTTAGTCCTGTATGTATAATGACGGACATGAGAGAATCAAACAATATTGATCTTCACGTTGACAGTGCTTGCCTCCGATGAAGAATGTGACATGTATCGTGACGAGATCTAGTGTGTATCTTCTTGCCCTGAGAAGATAGCCTCATGGACCAATGTATGCGGAAGGAGTTTGAAGCAGAGACGCTTCTACCAGGCCTATTGTACGGCAGAGTCAAGAATTCAATACGTCCAATTGTCACGTTGATGTATTCAATGTTCAATCAAACTCTAGACGCATAAGTACGCAGAAACGCTCACCCTGTTGACAATAATTTTGTACATAATTACGTTTTTTTTGCAGTATAAAGTAGTAGATACGTATCCCTTCAAGTTACCAAAAGAAGTTGATATATCTCACCTATCGAAGTTCACTGCTCGACAAGTCTGAAAACAATCAGACACCTAAGCACGATTCTAAGTACGTCTCTTGCACACATAGCCCATACATGGACACGTAAATGCGACGCGTGGATCGTCGAATCTGTCCGTCGACCCTGTAGGCTTTTGGGGGAAACGAGAGAGGGTGTTGGCATTACTCTATCAGAACGACGGCCAAGACTTTCCTTAAGCGCCCCCCTCATAACACTCTGACACTGTACTGCATGCTTCTGACGTTCTGGTTGTTAGTCATGTAATAGAAAATGCTGTTGCTTTTGCTTTTTTGGAAACCTTTCATAACCTAGCCAAGGTAAGGTGGCTTCTCTCATATGTCATTAATAATAAGCACCGCCCAATATCCCATCCCAACTACCCGCCCGTATGCCGCTATGCTTTGAAATGTTTCTTCCCTTCCCCCTCACTACGACGTGCCCTCCCATCATACTTTCATCTTCTCATCAACGCCAAACCTCTCAAACACCCATTCTGATGTCCATCCCGTCAACACCATAAAAAGTCCGCCGCCGCCGTCGTCATCATCATCACGCTCAGTAGACGTAAAACGCCTGCGTCAAGGGAAGCGTATCAGACGGCTCGGCGGTACACACCTCGCCGTCCGCCTCGACGGTGTAGCTCTCCGGGTCGACCCTCATCCTTGGCATGCTGTCGTTGAACCGCATGTCCTTCTTGCCGACCGTGCGGCACCCCTTGACGGCCTCGACGCGCTTCCGGAGGCCATACGACGCGATGGCGCCCGAGGCGATGGAGGCGGCCGAGACGAAGAGCACCGACGAGGCCGGCACGAGGGGCGCGAACATGGGGCGCGCGATGATGGGTTGGACTGTCGGGATGGAGGCGTTGGGGTCGCCCTGTGAGGGATTGGTTAGTTGATCCTTTTTTTTTTTTCTCTCTCTTCTTTTTTTTCTCGATGAAATACATGAGAGATCAGAGGGGGAGGGAAACCTACCATCTGCGCGGACGCGATGAGACCGCTCTTGATGACCAGGTTGGGCTTCGTGCCGAACCACGCCGGGTCCCAGACAACCAGGTCCGCAAGCTTGCCGACCTCGATACTACCCACCAGATGACCGAAGCCCTGCGCGACAGCCGGGTTGATGGTGTACTTGCTCACGTAGCGCTTGACGCGGAAGTTGTCGGCGCCCGTACCCTCGTCTTCGGGCAGGAACCCGCGCTGGACCTTGTTCTTGTGCGCCGTATTCCAGGTGCGGAGGACGACCTCGCCGCAGCGGCCCATGGCCTGCGAGTCGGACGACATCATGCTAATTGCGCCGAGGTCGTGGAGTACGTCCTCGGCCGCGATGGTCTCGGCGCGGATGCGCGACTCGGCAAAGGCGACGTCCTCGGGGATGTTCTTGGAAAGGTGGTGGCAGACCATAAGCATGTCGAGGTGCTCGTCCAGGGTATTGCGGGTGTAGGGCCGGGTCGGGTTCGTCGACGACGGCAGGACGTTGGGGTGCTCGACGACGGAGATAATGTCGGGGGCGTGTCCACCACCGGCGCCCTCCGTGTGGTAGGTGTGGATGGTGCGCCCGGCAAAGGCGTTGATGGTGGACTCGACAAAGCCCGACTCGTTGAGCGTGTCGGTGTGGATGAGACACTGCACGTCAAGCTCGTCGCAGACACTGAGGCACGTATCGATGGCCGCGGGCGTGGTGCCCCAGTCCTCGTGGAGCTTGAGGCCGCAGGCGCCGGCGATGACCTGGTCGCGCAGGGCCTCGGGCGCCGAGTCGTTGCCCTTGCCCGTGATGCCAATGTTCAGGGGCAACGTGTCGCAGGCCTGAAGCATCTCGCGCATGTAGTTTTTGCCGGGCGTACAGGTTGTGGCGCTCGTGCCGGCACTATAGGAGGTTGGTCAGTCGACGGAACAAGCTGACTTGCTCTTCAGGGGAACGCTCTCTCACCTTGGTCCCGTACCACCTCCGAGCATGGTGGTGATTCCTGACGCGACGGCCTCGTTTGCCTGTTGTGGGCAGATGAAGTGGATGTGAGTGTCAATGCCGCCGGTGGTGATAATCTTGCCCTCGCCAGCGACGACATCTGTACAGCTACCGACAATCATGTTCGGGGTCACGCCGTCCATGACATCCGGATTACCCGCCTTCCCGATACCCACAATCATACCGTCTTTCACACCAATGTCGGCCTTGTAGATGCCCGTCCAGTCAACAATGAGCGCGTTGGTGACGACCATATCCAGAGACTCCGAATCCGGCCGGCCCGTTGCCTGACCCATGCCTTCTCTCAACGTCTTGCCGCCGCCAAACTTACACTCGTCGCCGTATACGGTGAAGTCCTTCTCCACCTTGATCCAGAGATCGGTGGTGCCGAGCCGGACCAGGTCGTCCACGGTGGGACCGAACATTGTCGCGTACGCCGCCCTCTCCATCTGGTAGACCTCGGCAAAGTTCATGACAGCCTCGGGCTCCGGCGCATGGGCGAAACCGGCCAGCTGAAGCTTCTCCACAATCTCCTTTGCGCGCCAGAGCTCGACGCCGCCTGAGGCGAGCTTGTTGCCACCGCGGATGACCTTGTGGCCTCCAATCTCGACGAGCGTCACCGTCTTCACGTCACCGGGTTCAAAACGCACTGAGGTTCCGGCGGGGATGTCCAACCGGTAGCCGTACGACTTCTCACGGTCAAACTCGAGCTGCGGATTTGTCTCGATGAAGTGGTAGTGCGAGCCGACCTGGATAGGGCGGTCCCCCTTGCTCTTCACCCTGAGCCTGATGCGGTTGCGCTTCTCATTGAGCGCGACCTTGCGCACCGCGGTGACAACGGCGCCGGGTGCCTTCTTGGGCTCGTACGCCGCGACTTCGGGCATCGAGAAGAGGTCGTTGCTGGGCACGGGGAGAAAGCTGCCGTATAAGGCGCGCGCCAGGTCACCATCGTCCGTTGCGATGGGGTTGTGAACAGTCACGAGATAGGTCCCTGAGGGAAAGGTGCCCTCGACCTGAATCTCATGAAGGGTACTGCAGACTGTGGGGAGCACATGCCTCCTCCCCAGCATGGTGGCACCCAAGCTCATGAGATCGGCCACGGTGTGGTTACCATCGCGGATGAGCTCTTGCAAGTTGCTGGCGATGAGTGCCTGCGGTTGAGTCGTGTTAGTGCATACAAACTCTCAGTGCGGTGATAGCACCGCAAAAGAAGGTATTCGTACCGTTGCTTCAGAGTGGTTCAACTTGACGCCCCGGGCAAGCCGCCGTTGAGCCAGGGAGCCTAATTGAGAGATGACGAGCTTATCGAGCTACAATCACGACGTGCGGCGTTAACACTACTGTCTCTACCAAATTCTGCCAAGGCGACAGGGATATGTAAGAGGGAAACTTTGGGCACAATGGGCAAAAAGTACATACCTCCTTAGGAACGAGATGCATCCTGACAAGATTGTTGGTGACTCTCGGCCAGTTCAACTCGTCTTCATGAGCAGTTGTAGGTGTTGGTGAAAGAAAAATCACAGATTACGGGTTTAGAAGGACTCGCTGGCGCCAAAAGGGTAGTTAGACATTACAGGTAGGTGGCCGTCTTCGATAGTGAGGAAGCGGCCGTTTGCGCCGCCCACGGGCCTGGACCGGCGGCCACCTGCGAAAAAGGTGGGATGATGATAAGGCCCGGCCGCTTGGGATACGTCCCCCCCAAATGGAGGCTTGATTGGCCTTCCACTACCCCGCACAAGGAAGGTCCCTGAGGAAGTGACTGCCAAACCGCCCGCGGACCAATACAAGGCTCTCGTTTGTCTAATAGGCATTACGTCCAATTTTAGGCGATAAGCTAACCAAGAAGACTTCCATATGAACCACCTGCAGAATTGTATGTAAACTCCCCTGCCGTTCCACCGAGCCGCTGCAAATGCCGGTACAACATCGTGGGGATGTCTGTAGTCTGTATGCCTCATCACGAGAAGTTGGTCTCGTGACTCCAGTCATGATCAGAAACTGACCTCTCAAAATTGAGGTTCCTCATGAATCCTACATTGTCTGGTGAAGAAAAAACTGGAACTGAATGCAACGACTTAGTACGCAGACGCACGTCACCACTCACCTATAGGGACGGTTTCCAATATACGGTACTATGACAAGTCGGCAACTGTTTAGATCCTCGTAAACTCCCACACTACCTTAACTAGACATACCATATGTACCCAAATTTTCGCAGCTTGAAGAAAGATGAAACTCGCAAAAATTGCCGCCTCAGCAAGCTCGTTCCTCCTCCCAGCAGCCTACAGACCAATGCATAGGACAGAGCCCACACAAAGAATTGCGCCCATCTTACGAACATGGACACCTCGACGCGGCGCGTGTGAGAAGGTGCCCATTGCGAGAAGAATCCGAGGTGGGGCGGGATGCCGAGGAAGTTGGTTTGTATATCATAGCCTCGCTCTGCAACGGCGTCGTGGACAGAGGCGCTCTTGAGACCGGTGAGGAGGGCACCGTAGCTCAGGTAGTCTATATCGAGAGACCTTGCGAGAACATTAATTGTGTGAATTTAAGCAGTAGCGGTATAGATGTGAGGAAGCTCAAAAGCGCCGGATGGCTACGCTCGAACCATCAAGCGCAATTTGCTGGGGATCAGATATCACATCTTGGTTGATGAGAATCAAGCCTCTGACGTTTCGGAGAAAGCGAGGACGCGGTTGGCTGGACACGGCTCGCTATAGGGTAAAGTTGTGCGCTAACTTATTGGATTTCAAGAAAGGCACCCAGGTACCCAGAGATACCCGTTTCCTATGATTCAGTTGATGGAGATTATGGCCGTGTAAGACCAGGGAAAATATTGGTATCTCAGTCTTTTCATTCACACAACCAAGTATTGATCTGGCTACAGGCTAGCCTCATCAACTCCAGGGCGAGGCCTCGTCACATCCAGTCCTCTATGCTGTTCCTAACGCCGTCCACCGAGTCCAGTCCAATGGTCGACTGCCACTCCAAAGTTTTACCTCCCAAAACCGAGAACCCAGGATACCAAAACATGTACCAGTGCTAGTCGTGACATATTGACAATCATCCCATTTTCCTCAGCCGGGTGAGCTGAATACCTTATTCCTCCTCGACCTCTTCGTCCCACTGCGACTTCTCTCTCTTCATCAGATCAGCCATGACGGGAGCCTTGAAGATGGAGGATTCGGGATCTGAGCCACGCGGCACCTTGCCAAGGCTCTCGTCGTCGAATACAGATCCAATGGTATCGATCCAGCGCTTCCGGCGCTCCATCAGTGTCTTCGTCATGTCGCCGATGCCTGGTCTTGCCATACCAGCCGCACCACCGACCGCGTGGCTACCGCCTCCAGCGCCGCCAGGTCGCTTATTCTTCTTGCTCTTGCCCATTGTACGGGTTCGCTTGAGATAGGCAGCCTGCACTTGCGTGTCGAGATCCTCCAGAATTGTTTGGTATTCTTGGTGCGCCATGCGCTCCTTGACGAGCTCCGTGAGTCGAGACTTGCGAGCGCCGTTGATGAGCATTTGCTCTCGAAGGCGACCTTGCAGCAAGCGCAATCGTGCTGCCACCTCATCGTCGAATGCGCCATCGTATTCCGTCTCGAAATTACCTTCCTGGGGAAGGAAGCCAATGTGCTTCAGTTCCTGCTTGATTCGTTCATCGACCTGGGTGTACTCCAACTTTGGATGCGAAGCCTTCTTCCATGCCTCGGAGTTCGATTCGGGCATGAAAGATGCAGGCGGCACAGTCGGCGGGGCCTTATCATCGACGAAGCTCTGCTGCGTATCTCCATTTTCTCCGTTGACGCTGCCGCCATTCATGACAGTATCTCCGTTGGTGATGCCGTTAGGTGCTTTCTCTTCGTCTGCCTGGGGTCGGTTCTCGGGTCGCATCGCTTGCATCAATCGCGACAATAAGGGGCCGACAGAGAGTTTATCGGTCTCGGCAACCTCGTCGTCCATGTTGTCAATCGCGCCACGAGCCTGGTTGGGCGCCAACTGTTCGCGCGCACCTTGAGGTTTGTCGAGTGCCATGGCGCCATCCTCCTCTTGCCAGATCTCAGTGTAGTGCTTCTTGCCTCTCTTAGGCATGTGGAAAGGTGTGACGCGATCGCCGCGTTCTCGAAGGAAGCCGAGGTCTTCCTCAGCAAAAGGCCGGAAGTAGGGTTCCATGTACGTTGAGAAGGTCGAAAAGCTGATCTGGTTCGTGGGCTTGGCACTACTAAAGTCCTTGTCAGGAGGATCACCAGCAATGAGATCCGCCAGATCAGTCTTTGGAAAGACGGCGACAGAGAATATCTCCTTCAATTCGTCCTCTGGCATGCCTGAGTGTGTCGGGCGAATTTCGTAGACGGTCGGGTCGGGGAAGGTGGAGGGATCGTCGCCGAAGGTGTGCGCAGCGGGTTGGGCCTTTTTGGGCGGCGCGCCCTCGTCTTCCGAACTCTCCTCTTCCTCCTCCTCCTCTTCGGCCTCTTCTTTTTTCTTCTTCTTCTCGTCGACTTCCATTGCTGATGGTGTTGCAGGCGCGACGGGTGACAGGGAAGAACTGGCCGAGTCGCGCGAAAGCTTTCGTGGTTTAGTGGATTCCCTAAGCGGGGATGATCGCTCTGTGGTAGCAGGCGAGGTCAGTACTCAGATTTAAATACGAGGAATCCAGGTTAGTCGTGCGGTGACGAGGTGAGCATTCGGTGAGCATCCTATGCCCCACGAACAAACCAAGAAAAAGCGTGAAAGAGCACTAGACCGCACAGGGCCAAAGAAGGGTAGTGACCTACCGACTCCCCCTTCCTGGGGTGGTGCCAGGGTATCGGCCGCCTTTCTCTTCTTCTTGTTGGTCTTGCCCGTCTTCTTGCCGTCCCCCTCGGCCTTCGCGGCGGGTTCAGCAGGCTCGTCGACGTCGACGTATTGCTTGCGCGTGCTGGCTAATATGCGCATACCCCTATCGCAGAAATTGCTTCGTCTGTCGATGGTTTCCTGCAGGCGCTGCAGGCGGGCAATCATGCCATCGAGACTCTTGGAGTCGGGCATGACGGCATTGGAGGCGCCTTGGTCTACGAGGTCATCGTAGTTGAGGTTACGGAACTGCTCGACACGTAGCTCGAGATATTCGGTGTCGACAGCTTCGATAGGAGGCAAGCTGGCGGAGGGCACGACGGAGCTCGGGGTCGTGTTGCGGCTGCGCTGTCGCATAGCACCGGGCCCGGCTTTCTTGCCGGTGCCCTTTTGGCTCGCAGCAGGCGGCATCGCGGGCAGCCTGTGATGAGCGCTCGCAGGTTTGGTATGGCTTTTGATGAGGTTGGATCTTGCGCGTCGTCCTTGTCGAGGGTTGAGATGGATCTGATATGTCGAAGTGAAGGTTGGGCCTTTGATGTCAAGCGTCGACTGAATGGCACTCGAGATCGCGCCGCCCTGTATCGGTAAGGTACGCCTAACCTGCTTACTGGATTGGTCACCGGTCGCGGAAGTATGGGTCAAATCGCCCGAGCTCGCCTGTTGCACGCACCCTGGGGTTACCCGCGGAAGTCTGGGGGAAGGTACTTGTGGAAAGTGCTCCGCCAGCACCAAAATGGGAAGCGTCTCTGTGAACCGGGTACCTTACCTAAGGAAAGCACAAGGGCCAGGCAAGCTTCAGTGCCTCAGCTCCATCAACTGCCATCTCACGAAACCGGCATCTTGCATCCCATCCAAAGGATCAAGATCTAAGTACCCCCTTTCTTAGATCAGTAAAGTATTGGTCTATAGCCATGATGTGACTTCTCGCATTGCCATCTTTGCGAGCCAGGTTGATTCTCTCTTGGTAATGTTACCTTAGTCATCGTTACTCCCAGCGCTTGGAGTGAAATGCTATGCTCTCTCATAACACCGGAGCACAAAAGCAAATGATCACGGGTAGGCAACAGTGCTGATATCATATCATGCCGCCATCGACCACCAACATCACAGAAACTGGCTATAGCGGTGATTCTATTACGATGGAACATGAGATAATCTTGGGAAAAGCGTGAATACGAGGGCATACACGGCCAGGTTTACAGGAAAGAAGGCTCCTGCATACTGATGTAGTTCCCCATCTAAGAAGTTTGACGATCTCGATGGGTGGGCAAGATCAACCGAAAGTGAGAACTGTGTTGACTTGTCCATGGCTCATTGATCAATCAGGACTATCCAATCTACCTCAAGGCGAGTTGATCAATGAAGGTACGCTGTCCGAGTAGAAGGCGTCTCTCAGGTCTTTCTTTCTCTAATAATGCAGCTCGTGGACGAACCTACCTGAAGAAGTCCAATTTTGCCGAGAAGGCCATTCTCATTCTTCCCTCAAATGACTTCCCATAGAAGTAAAATTGAATCTCAATTCGTTCTCGTTCTATGTTGCGAGCCCTGCTTATGATGCTCCTGGGCCTTGCGAGCAGATTACCCCAACAGGCACTACTTCAAGGTGTGATAGAACCTGTTCACCAAAGTACGGTAGGTACATCTAGCTACACGTATGTCATGAAGTCTCTCAAGCCAATAAGTCTAGATTTGAATCTTTTGGTCGCCGAATTACCACGTCCGTGACCTTCTGTACGTGTTCTAATGCTGCTAGATCAGATCTTATTGCTCCCAAGAAGCGAAAGTGCATTGAGTATACTATGCGATGCAGACCTATCTAGCGATTTAGACAATAGAGAAAAGTGAAAGAGCCGCCCCAACTTCACAGCTCTCTCTCACTTCCAAGCGCAAATTTGCTAATTGCTGATGCTTATTCAATCTTTTTGTCAAGAAAAACCATCAAAGCTTCTCCTCACACTTTTGGATTACTTGGTCGCGGATAGCAATATTGGAAGTACTGCCACAGGCGGTGATATTTCGGCCAGAGACCCCCCCATGGGCTGATAAAGACGCGGGTTAAGAGCGACGGAGCAGACGAAACTGAGGCCCATGGCAGGGTTGCCACACATCGATATGAGGACCATCAAGCGCTTCTTGCGAGTGCAAAAATAAGTCAACAATGGCCGGCGTGGCTACGCGTTCGCAGATGGCTTCAGGAAACCCGGCTATCACGTCTGGTTGAGTCGGTAGTGTCCAAGAGCGGAACTTAAAACCCCTCTCTCAATACTCTTTGATGATCATCAAGGTAGTATGAAGCTCCACAAGAGATTCGGGATTCTCGCGCGATGAGGATGCCTATGAGCTCCTGAGTGGCGGTCGATGGAGCCATGTGCTCTGGGGCGCTTCTCTCATTGGCATCGTATGGTACTCACCCAACCCCAGATAATCTGTGGTCTGCACATACCGAAACACTACGTTCCGATTTATGCATGGCAACAAGTAGTTTCCTAGTTTGGTTCGAACGGATGATCTGTCGTCCATCGATTGAGTGGCTTTAAAGACAATCTGGAAAACTAGCATTCATTCGCAGGAGCCTTGCCCACTGAAATCATCCAGATTGTGAGATGGTACTCACAGAGTAATCACTCGCTTGACTCTACTCCAGAAATTCGTCATGAAAATCAACTTACTCGAACTTTGAACAGGGTCGAAATCACTGCTAATTAGCTG